CAATCACATCAGACAACTCCCTCAGCATCCTCGGATGCAGTGCATCCGGCCCAATGGACTTGTGCATGTCCAGATTTTCTAAATAGTCCTTAACCTGTTCTTTCACCACAGAGGGCTGCTCACCTCCTCCCCAATCCAACCTGTTCTTTAAAAATTTCCAATAATGGGGATTCCACAACCTCCTTTGGAAGCCTGTGCCAGAGTTCAACTATCTTATAGTTGGAAAGATTTTCCTAATAGCTAACCTAAATCTCCCATGCTGCAGATTAAGCCCATTACTTCTTGTCCTACCTTCAGTGAACATGAAGAAGAACGTGAACATGAAGCCCATCCTCTTTATAACACCCCTTAACATAGCTGAAGACTGTTAATGCTTGGAGAGCACAATGGAGGGTTCATGCAAACCCATAAAATGACACTACCTATTGTACTTGATTCTTGAGAGAGACTGTGAGTGAAGCAAGTTATCTAACAGCTGATCACTACATTCTGTGTGAAAGGGCTATGCAGTATTAACTTAATTTGTAGTGGGCAGGCATCTTAACAGGCAAATAAACATCCTTATTGCCAATCTCTTCACAGGGGGTATATCTATACTGCAATCACAGGGTGTGACCTCAGCTCAGGGAGACATACCAGTGCTACCTTTAATCTAATTAGCTTGGGTCCCAGAGCAGGGAAGCTGTGGCAGCGCACACTTCAGCATAGGGTGTGCAAGCCCCCCTAGAGCCCTGGATAACTTGCAAGGCTACCCCACAGTGACGTGCACTACTGCAGCTTCACTGCTCAGTGACCCAAGCTAGCTATAATCTAGCTAGATTGGGTATGTCTACTCAAATTTCTGTCACACCCTGTGACTGCAATATAGACATACCCAGAGACCAAAGATTGAATGAGCATGGAGGGTACTGCTGGTCCTCGAGGGGAGGGAGAAGCAGCCCGGGACCCCTGTTGGTGCTGGGGGCGGCGACGGATAGTGGTGCATGGCCCGGGACTCCCACTGGTGCTGGGGGTGGTGTTGGCAGGGCTGCCAGGCTCCCTACCCGGTTCTGCGCCTCCCCAGAAGCAGCAACATCCCTCAGAGGAGAGGCCACACGGTTCTGCACGCTACCTCTGCCCCAAGCACCGGATCTGCAGCCCCCATTGGCTGGGAACCACGGTCAATGGGAGCTGCAGGAGCAGTGCCTGCAGGCAGAGGCAGCACGCAGAGCCCCCTGGCCGCGCCTCCACCTAGGAGCTCAGGGATGTCCCTGCTTCCGGGGAGCCCCCCCTCCCAAAGTAAGGACCACCCAGAGCTCTCACCCCCTACCGCACCCCACCCAAAGCCTGAGCCCCCCGACCCAAACTCCTGCTGCTGCTGGGGAGGGGGCACAGTGGTCCGAGACTGCCCCAGCAGCAGTCGATACGGCTGCCTGAGCTGCTCAGGTGGTCTTCGGGACAGCCACACCAGTCACTGCAGAAGTCACGGAGGTCACAGAAAGTCACAGAATCCGTGACTTCCGTGACAAACTCACAGCCTTAATTATCGGTAATATCGGTAAACATCTATTTCACTGTAGACACACAAACCAACAAAAAATATTTCCCTCAATAATAGTTGAAACTTACACCTAGGCAAAGTAAGAAAAATGCTGCTTGGGAATTTATTAGAGTTTCATTTAAAGGGATTTGCTTTGTATATCTTGACTGGTGATGTTGAGAATTTGTGTTTTCATGGTTATAAAGCTTTAACTTTTTGAATCTCAACATTCACTGCCATTAAACAACTACTGTCTGACCTCCCCCACATAATTTCCCAGAACTGTAAAAATTTAAATCCATTAAAAAAATTTAAAATGCTTAACTCATAATTTTGTGCAACTGAAAATTTAAATGGATTAAAAATGTTTAAAATTAAGATTTATTTGTACTCATCTGAAGGTAGAAGTGTCTGACACCTACTTGAAGATGGATTTTAAATGAAGAATTCCTTCTCTTCCACTGATTTTTGAGAAGGGCAGAATTATTTGGATAATGAGGCTTTGTAGACTTCCACAGATTGCATATAAAATGTATAGGTGTTGCTATATATCGTATAAAATACTAAGAATTATTTAGATAAAACTCTAAAGGGAGCTCTAAATGTACAACAGGAAAACAGAGTACACTTAATTTAAATACACATATGTAATCTGTAATTTGTCTTTTTTTGTTAATTAAGACAACGAAATCCAAATCAGCAAACAAGTATCAGTTTGCTACTAAATGATCTATTCATTCCTCATGCACCTGGACCTCTCAAGGGTCCTTGACACCATTGAGCACTCCCTATTTCTTGAAATACTGACAGCCATTGGCTTTCATAGATCCATTCCCACCTCTCTTATTGTACCTTCAGTGTCTGGTTTGTTGGATCCATACAGTACATTTTACAGGGCTCTGTTCTTGGTTCCCTCCTCTTCTGTCTCTATAACCGCTCTCTAGATTATTTTAGCCCCTTTCATGGCTTTGATCACTATGTCTATGCTGCCCACCATCTAGTCCGGCAGCTCACTTGTCTCTCTGACATCTCCTTGTGGATGTCCTGTCAGCTGTTACCAAATATCTTGTTGATTTACTCACATCTTCCCTCCTACTCTGACATTTCTTCATTTTTGACCCCATAAAAATATGTTTTTTAGGTTCCTACAAAACTTAGCCCCACTCCACCTATTATATCAGTAATCTTACAGTGTCACTGACTATCAGCTTTGCTTCATCAACATTGCCAGCCTTTACGACCTATTAATCCACAAGAACTTCAGGGCTTTATCCCACACTGCCCTTAATGTATGTAATAAACTCCCCAAAGAAATGTGTAAAGCTGCCACCTTTTTCAGCTCTCTCTGTAAAGCTCCTTTGGGCTATGATGCCAACAGAACCTTGCCAGTTGATGAAAGCAAGGCAGGTGGTGAGCCACATTGTGAACACGGATACTCTGTGCAAAAACATACTTGTTTTACTGTGGTCTCTCCCCACAACACACCCCACCATTTGTGTGGTACTTATTGTAAGCCCTTTGCGGCAGGGGTGGTCATTGTACTGTGTGTTTGTACAGCACCTAACAAATTAAGGCCCTGATCCCTGATGGGGGCCCAAGTCTAAGAGCCGCTGCAATACTAAGGAATAGCGATAATAATCTGGCTTCCTTTGATTTGGTCAGAAAGACCACTCAAAACATCTCATTTTGAACTGCACCTTAACTGACAAGTTCAGCCTAATAGGGTAAAACTGCTATTCCTTGCCAAATGAGACCCCCCATCACCTCAGTGGGAGCCTGGGTGCAGGTGGATGACAGTGTTGAGACTACATGGTATATTCATCTTTCAAGTAGCAACGTTTCTGGAAAATAATGTGATATTTTTTTTAAAAAAAAACAATTGTTTTATTGTATATGATATTTTATTTAGGTTTGTTGACCCTTTTCTTCCTGCTTTAGACCATTGGCTGGCTGCTAAAATAGGATTCTGTAAAAAGCTTTAAAAAAAAAAAAAAAAAAAAAAAAACACTTTTCCAAGTTCAGTGTACTGAATATAGAAACCCTAGGTCTGAGTCACATCTTATTTACACTGGTTTCCACCCCATTGTAATTTCATTTATTTCAATGAAGTCACTCACGATTTACAATGGTTTCCACTGTGAGAATTAAGGCATCTATTTATCCATAAAAAATAATCCAACTGGTTTGGTACAGAATCATTTAGAAGAAAATTGTCGATCTCCTAGACCTCTTTGATGAGGAAGTATATAATAATGTTTCCCCCAGTGTCTCCCTTGAAATTAACTTTTCCAGTTGTTTGCAACATGTGTTTGTGGATTAGGTTCATAGCCCTTTTTTTTTTTCTCAATGCACTGTGAGCTTTGGAAGTTCTCAATAATATGTGCTTATGAGCGGAGTTAAATCTTGTTCTGGGTTGAGTTAAAACTTCATTCAAACTGATGTGTGAACACACTCTTCGCTTAAGATAGTTGTAATAAACACTCAAGGGACAACACCTAAAACGAGATCTAATAGAATCCACCCAGAAACTACCACCACATGGGAAGGGGTTCCACTGGGGGTATTATGACTAGGTGGGTAGGGGGAGGAAGGGAAAACACACACGAGACAGGGGAAGGAACAAAAAGCAAGACAGTCAGTGCTTACAGCTTGGGGGAAAGGATGTCAGCATGGCCACCCCCCAAATCTGAAAATATAACTGTCGATGCTGAGGCTGGGAAAGATTCTGCCCATTCTGTTCAAGTGGGGGACTAACTATTGTCACAACAAGGTTTCATCCAGATCGTAACAGTATTATATGGACTGGATTGTCTGAAATAGCCATTAGGAAACAACTCTTTCTGAGTGCTACAGTTTAATAAGGAATGAAAATTCAAATGCAATCGATGACTTTAAAAAGATGGTGAATCATTTATTTGAGTGGGAGTTGACTGCAACGATAACACGGCTGGACATGAGCAACCAGAATGGAAATACATCAGATCAGCCAAGGAAGACTGAAGATCAACTAGATCAAATCATTCCAAAGAACAAGAACTAGATTGTTGTTAGAGTACCAATAATTCAATTCCAAATGATATATTTATATAAAATCAGTACCATATACACTATTCCTATGAAGCAACCTTTTTTTCCCAATGAAAAAGTAGCTACAATTTTACAACTTGAAATACTGAAGAGGTGCCATTGAATGCATAAAACTGAGCTGGCTTCAGAATTGGTTGAACCTTGTAGTGCCCAAAGTATTGTATTCTGTAGAGCCCTGGTTCCGTAGAACTTGGAATATGCCATTCTACTTTGGCCTTGCTGCGACCAAGAAATCCTTTGGTCCAGTAAAATCTAATGGAAAAATAATAAACGACTGGTTAAAAATATATAATCCACATTAATGTGTATTGCAATAGTCCAGCCAAGATATCTAATTGGCTGAATTAAACACATCTGAATGCCAAATCATTATGGAACAGAAAGAACTTTTACTACAAGTTAAGTGACATAGACGCTAAATAATCCCTCCGGCTCAATTTGTCCCAAGAGGATTTTATTTCTGTGATTTTTTAATTACTTTGTTTTATTTTTGTTGCTTTGTTAATAACACAATGCACAGCAATGAAATACACCAGGGAACACTAAATGACAAATAAGTGGTTATTTCTGCAGATAAAAAATATTTGTCTAGGTAATTATGTGGCTCCCATAATGTATTAAATGAGCACCTCACAATATCATTATCATGGTTATTAAATATTAATGAATTTACCCTCACAACTTCCCCATTAGATAAGAAAATATTATTCCCATTTAACAGAAGAGGAACTGAGGCACAGATAGAGCAAGAAAATTGTGAAAGGTCAGGCAAAATCTGTGAAAAAGCTGGAAATTGAACCTAAATAATCTGAGTCCCAGACCTGTGTCAGAATCACACATCCCCTTCCTCATATTTATTGCTAAAAATGGGCTCAGGAAACTGAATTGCCTTAGACTGATATAACTGGGTCCTGAAGTTTTTTAACTATAGAGCATGTGCTGTATACATCAGACAACAGCACAAACTTCCTCCCACTGCCCTCACCAATGTGTCCCAGCAGAGATGCATGTCCTACGAGGAACAGAGCTAGTCCAAAAATGCTGACAATACTTGTTTGTCACAATGTTTTATGTATCTATTTTGACAAAAAAATTGTTGGGAAAGTTTTGTAAGATGGAATTTCTGATGTGAGAGTGAGACCCCAGAATAGCCCAGTGGTGAGGGCACTCACTGGGGGTGTGGGAGACCCAGGTTTAAGGCTCTGCTCTAAATCAGGCAGGTTTCCCACATCCGAGGTGAGAGCCTTAACCACCACACTATTAGCTATTTCACACACTCACACACACACTTTTTCACAAATTTTATTGAAAGGTCTCATTTTCGTTCTACGTCAGAATAAAAACAAATTTCAAAACCTCTAAATTTTTTTGTGAAACAGAATTGGCTTTTTCCAGCTAGCCCCAATGGGAAACTTCTCAGGGTCATAAAATAGATTGATATTCATTCCCTTCTTGTCCTGTCTATTGAGACTGTCAACATCTGTTGTGTCTTGTTTTGTACTTAGATTGTAATCTCTTTGGGGTGGGAACCATGTTTTTGTTCAGTTTTGTACAGAACCTAACACAATGGGATCCTCAGTGCTACCAATAAAGAACAATAATAAACATCTACCCAGTGATCTGGTGTCCTAAATGGTGTGGCTCTCAGAGATGTGTGCTCTCTGTCAGCATGTGTGATTAAGTAGGACCATTATTCTGGAATACTGTAACTGGAAAATGCTTCCCTTAAATATACATGGAGTTCACAATGTTTTACAGTGTCTTCTCTTTACCTATTGTTTATTTGTGCACTCACAAAAATAAGGGTGTGATGGTACCCAGTCTTTTCAATATTGTAACAGTGAGTATGTTATTGAAGTTTCTCTCCCAAGTTTGTGGTAATTTTCATAGAAATTTTATTAAATGTTTTAAATTTTGTTACTTAAAAAAAGGAGAAATTCCTTGTTTGTAGCATTACTTGCTTTCTGGAATTATTATTAGGCTGTCTATTAAGCATAGACATACTACACATAATACTTACAAGTAATGAAACACAACACTACCTTTATCTGAGTAGGTTATATTAGGAGGAAAATTTACAGAAATGGGGATCCTAATATACTGTGACAACATAAGAGAGCAACACAACCCCTGCAACCCCCAAAATACATAGATACACTGGAAAGGGCCAGAATAACCTCTGGTAGAAAAGGGGAATGTCAGTCTGTATTCCACAAACACAGGCATGATTTCCATCTCCTAAAACTCCAAGCTTAGTGCTGTTACGTATGCTACTAAGTGTGTCAGAAGTTGTCTCAGGAAACATTGGATTTATATCAGTGTCCTTTGGGTATCAGATCAGATTCAGAAAGCAATTGGTTGCACTCAGGCAGAGAAAATTATGCACTACCAGGAAGAAGCCATCATAAATTCAGAGAAACAGAATCGACTGATGTAAATCTGTTATACTGGGAACATTGTCTCTCTCCTTTTGAAGTGTAAGGTGTTTCTATTGGAATATCTCCAACATCACAGGATCCTGAAATGGACCTCTTTGGGATCCATTCTTTTGCTGATATTTAGGAGACTGAGGTAAATAAGTCATCAGTTTTTAATCAGATTAGGAAATAACTTCTTTGAACAAGGATGTGACAAACAACTCCTTTGTGTTCTTTGTATGTATCTTAACATTATTAGCTATACTGATTATAGTGCTAAAAAGCCACACTATCTTTTCTTCCTGATACATGCAATCTCCATAAGGCTGGGGGTCCTACCACAAATTTGATTTCTACTGCCCCCCCCCCCTTTTTTTTTTAAATGAAACTTCTCCACATTGGGGACATACATCAGAGCCACTAAATACTTTTCCCAAAAACAACAGTGTTGGTGGAAACCTTTTATATCCTCCTTTTAATATCCAACTATTAGGCAATGTGGACCAGTGAACGGGGCATTGGACTAGGAATTGGGAGATGTGGGTTCTAGCCCTAGCTCTGCCACTGACCGCCTAAGTAATCTTGGGCAAGTCACTTCTCCAGCTGTAAAATGGGTATAATGACATTTACCTGCCTTTGCAAACCACTATGAGCTCTATGGATGAAAAGCTCAGTGTGAGATCCAGATAGTACTATCTTCATGAAATTTCCATACATTAAATACAAAAATTGTTTAGAAAATGGAATAAGAATGTTTTAACAAAAATGGGTTTTGTCAAGTTAGTTCACACCATGATTTTCCTTAAGATGAAATAAGATTTAGTTGTACATTCTCAATGCTGTGTTGATGAGAGCTCTGCATAAGGTTGTACAAAACCACAAATTCATTTCTAGAGGCAGATTCTTTTAAAATGCCATTTTAAATATTTATTTTCAACTCAGCATGTGCCAAGTGTCACTGACATCATGTACAATAGACGTTGCCATACAGATCACAGTATTCAAAGAAATGAAAGTTCTGGCTTAAGCAGAGCTGGCTTTTGTTACATTTCCACTATGGAAAAGGACATGGTAACCCCAAAAGTGATCTCCACTGCCTAACTCTGTACAGGGTGTTACTATTCTGTAATGCACAGGGGCTGAGGAATGTGAGGGTATATCTCAGTCAGAAACTCACAATATCAATAGCCCTAAAGTTTTGTGGCCAGATCTCAAGACTCCTCGGGCCTAACTGTTGATCATGTTATAGCATGCTTGCATCACTTCACTGGATACAAAAGATTGCAAAGTTTGTGGATCCCGCTGCTGGGAATTCCCATGGCAAAGGATGAATCTCAATGTGGCAGAAAGCTGGCGTAGCAACACTCTGCAACTCCCTCCATTTTGCATCACCCGGTGCAGAGGCGATTGCCAGAGGAGAGGTAATATGGCCAAAGTCTTTGTGATTCAGCTATGCTCAGTTGCTGGAACAGCATCCTCATATAGTTAAAGCAGCCCTGAGGTTGCTCTAATTTATGCCATGGGCCAACTGGTCTCCAGGCAGGCAGCCCCCAGAATATGGGAACTACAAAATCTGCATAAAGTCACCCCTAAACCAAGTCCTGTGCAGAGACCAAAGATTTTTGACTTTCTAGTGAATCGACATCTTGCATCTCAATGACTCTGGGCTTGAGGCAACCAATATAAGTTACTTTACAAGTACTATAGTGCAAAATGCAGTATTTAATTAAAAATTATTAAAACAATGAATGTATTCTGCAGAAGGAGGTAGTTCTATCCATTGTTTTTACAGTAATTATTCATTTATCTTACATTCCACAATATTATGGATAGTAATTGTGGGTAACTCATCATGGTTATACAGCTTTTAAATTCTAAAATCTTCCTCCTGTTTACGTACATTAAAGGAAAGTCACATCCAGAAGGGGAATCGCAAGGCAGAATGGTTCCAACTCTGATTCTGCCCCCCACGTTCCAACCTAAAAAGAAGGCTGCTTCACAGACCTTCTGCTGATGTTCAAAGGCAGGTCTGGGGGCTGTGATCTGAGCATTTTACCAACACAGCCATAGCTCAAGTATCCACAGAGTGTGCAGGTTACTCTTTTCTACAAGGATAGGCGTAAACTACACTGTGGTACTGTGCATGAGACAGTGGCTAGTCAGAATGTGTGTGTGCAATTAACACTCTTGCAGTGTTGGTGTACACCTGTTTGAGGAAAATGCAAAAGAGTGCCAGAACCTGGTCCCTGGGGTTTTTATAAGCAGCTCACTGACTCCTTAATACTCAGTGAAATTTATGAAACAGAGTCAGTCCTGGGAGAGAGTTACTCACCTGGTATCCCACGAGGCATCATTATACGTTACATGCCAATTTCCTGAAATGTTCTCATATTTCTCAACTGTAAGGAAGGTTTTGAGAGTCTGGAATAAAATTAATATAACTAGTCAGATACTGAATGACCAATCATGTAAGCTTTCTAGTGCTTAACTTAAAATTGAAGAACAGGGTTTCTTCTTTGTTTTAACTTTTTATTGGCAAAACATAACAAGACTAAGCTGTACATATAATGTAGGGTATAATAAAGGGCACATTAGTTGCAAGAAGACTGCAAAATACACCTCTACCCCGATATAACGCTGTCCTCGGGAGCCAAAAAAATCTTACCATATTATAGGTGAAACCGCGTTATATCGAACTTGCTTTGATCTGCCAGAGCGCGCAGCCCCGCCCCCCCGGAGCACTGCTTTACCGCATTATATCCGAATTCATGTTATATCGGGGTAGAGGTGTATATGGCATTTAATGAATTTCCAATAAAAATAACCAATATGACATGTCTGTTCTCTATTTTTAAAAATGTTTAAAAAAACGTAATAGTATGAACTTTGATTCTGAGAATGAAAGCTTGGACTTGCATTAAATTGCACCAGAATGTAGAGAAAAGGTTTCTGCATTGCTCATATGTGCAATTTTGACTCACATGGTATGAAGAGGTCATGAATTAGCTAGGACTGAACTCTTTGTGCAGTTTTCCTATTCAATGCTCAAAATCCCCTTAACAACTGAACAAACTTCCAAGCTGGAACTTTACAATCAAAGGGCTTCTGGTAATGTAAGGCCCCAAAGAATATGCTGAAGTCAGTAACTCACATAAGTACAAACAGGGTGAACGTGGTTTTATATGAACCAATGGGGACCTCCAATGAGTGTTTAGCTACAGGAAGTTTAGAAAATTATATTTAGAAGACTTTACCTATATCATTGGTTGTGATTTATAAACATTCTAAAATGAAAGGTTTATCTGGGATGTATTATTTTAATGTGCAGTATTCAGCCCAGTGTAAATGCATAGTTATAGTGTGATAGTTTTAGTATAATATGCAAGAATCATTGTTTATAAACTTCAGTGACTCTTCCCTGCAGTTTGCAACTAATTCAACTAGCCACTGAAATAAATAAAATAAAATAAAATAGAACTCAAATAATATTTTCTTCTCTGAGCCTTGTGTGTGTGTTTGTTTGTAAAGATATGTTTACACTTAAAACACTACACCTGCACAGCTGTGCTACTATAGCTGCGCTGCCGTAGCACTTCAGTGAAGACACTACCTATGCCAAAGAGGGGCTCTCTCCTCACTGTAGGTGATCCACCTCCCCGAGAGGAAGATGCAAGAATTCTTCTGTCAACCTAACGCTGTCTACACAGGGTCTTAGGCTGGCTTTACAACAACAATCAAAAGTGTGGATTTTCTACACCCCTGAGGGACATAGTTATGCCGACCTAATTTTCTGGTGTAGATCAGGCCTAACATCTCTGCTTCTTTTTCCTCTTTTCATGTCTGACCTAGTCTATCTCCATACCATTTGCTCTTTTTCTAATTTCCCCTCTATTTCTCTTGTTTTACTCTCTCTCTCTCTCCTCCTTATCTTTCTTTAGAAAAGTGCAACTCAAAGTCCTCCATGTAAGCAAGCAGAACAATAATTAAACATTAGCCATTGTGAAAGAATAGAAAAATCTAACATCATTTAATTATACTTACAGTGTTCTGAGCAGAATTCCTGGGGTTCGCACCTACAAAAGTTGCTTCAGCAACTTCTCCCTGAGGAAATTTATTTTAGAATTTATTTTGAGAGTGGACTATATGTTATAGAATAAAATCAATGATTTAAGACATCTTTATTAACATCTGTATTATTTTAATAGTTGCTATTGGATTGGAGAGTTTTTATCATGAATTCCACTATGTACAGTGCCTTAACATTCCACCTCTCCTGTCTGCTGGATGAATTCCATTATGTGACATTAAGTTCCTGTATTTAGAAAAATAAAGGCAGGATGGTGGGATTTTAAGGTTAAAGTACTACATTGTAGCGGCTTCCCACCTTCTACCTGCTTTTATTGCACCCAAGAGTGTACAGATAAGACGACACTGCCCTTGTTCTGAATATCTTGTAATCTAATTTTGTCAAGTATTTAAAATAATTAATCCTTATGACATTTTTCATCTCATTCAGATTCCAAAGCAAGTATATCAAAGGACAACCAGGTTTCTGCTTCAAAACATTATAACACAACAATTGTTACTTCAGAGTGAATCCTCATTTTATGTATAGAAATAAAAAGATTCTCCTTCATGGAGAGATGTCAAGGTCTCTTTTTTTTTTTATTCCCTGATTTTAACTACATTCAGCATACAAACATTGGTGGATAGGCTATCTATGTTGTTGCTCTAAAATAAGGACAAATAACCTTAACATAAAAACACTGAAGTGGTTATCCATTTCTCAGAAGCACCTTCTTTACTCAGTAATTCATTCATATGTGAATTTCATATTCAAGGGGCATGTTTGGTTTATTGCTATAAAGAATAAGGAAGAAAAGGAACGTTTGGAAATTCATGTCAGCTATATAAACATCAGAATACCTATTTAGTTCTCATTGGTTTTATTATAATTTTATTTCAGTTTCACTTTTTCTTGCAACTCACGCAAAGGTAAGCTGAGTTGCTATCACAACCAACCTTCAAAAGATTCCTTAGTCTAGATATCATGGGTCGGATTCTGCTCTTATATATCCGGATGTAAATTTTTATTAACATCAGTGTAGTCTAAAGCAGAATTTGGCCCTATATCTTTATAGAAACCCCACACTAATTAAGAATATGGTTAAGAATCTGACAAGTATTCAGACTAGTAGTTAATAAATGATATTTCCCCAGATAGTCTTACCACTCTGTACAGTGGTTGTACTTCCTGTAACACATCCCCAAATGTTTTACTGACTGGTGCAACATCAGGAAGAACAACAGGTAACAAAGTCATGTTGGTTATGTTGAAGAATGGTGGCTCTGGACCATTTGGCAAATCCTGAACTGTATTCTAGAAAAAAGAACATTTATTTAATAAGCAGAAATATTGTTTGTCAATTCTACTGTGAAACAATTGTGACAAAACATCATATACAGATGCTGTTGTATTTCACAAAACCCAATAAGCCAAATGTGCCTTTTTAATTAACTACAGTGAGTATAATTGGCTGTAATGCCAAGAATAAGAAAGTCACCAAAAAAAAGTACAGTGAGAGGGTTCTTGTTTATATGCTACTTTCAGCACCACTTCATTCTTCGATCTTATCTCCATATGACTTTACACCAAGTTGCAGCTCCTCTGTTCTTGCTCTAGCTAGCATCCCGTTCAGCCCCAAGCAAAAGCTGCAACAACTTAAGGGCTGATCTAAGGTACATGCAGCTGTCCACAGATCAACAGGGTTGTTTTAGCGCCAGGAATTGTCAGAGTGCAGAGACTTTTCCAGCTACACTGACATCACCCTCATGGCAGGGCCAGGAGTTGGGGGACACAGAGCTACGATGCTGCTTCTGTACCAGCTGCAGATTCTGTTTACTGAAGGGAAATTCCCATGGAGCTGATTAGGCTGGTTTCTGGTGATTTTGCACCGCCAGAGCAATACAGGCAGTTAGATCCAGGGCCGGCTCTAGGTTTTTTGCCACCCTAAGCAAAAATAAATTTTGGCTGCCCCCCGCCCCCGCCCTGGGCTCTACCCCCCCCCCCCACTAGTGCCCTACCCCACCCGCACCCCCTGCTGCTACAGCCCTGGGCTCCCCCCCCCCAAAACGTGACCTCCTCGTTCACCACAGCAATCCCCGTTTACACTTGCAGTGGGGATCAAACCGTTTCTCCTATTTTTATTTCACTTTAGTATAAATCTCACCTGCCCCCCCATCCCCCGTAACCCCATCTTTAGTGCTCCAAATGCACATGGAAGGCATAGGGACTAACCCTCAAACCTTGTACCCAGAAAGGGATGGGGATCTAGTAAAGAGGGTTCAGGCAGAGGAGCGGGTGTGGGGGTGATTGGGGGCTCTACACTGGCAGAGAAGCGGGGTGTGATGTACGCGTGGAGGAAGGTGGAGGAGGAGAGGGGGTATCAGGAGGGTTGCGGGAGAAGAGGTGCAGGGGAAGGTACAAGGGGAGAGGTGTGGGTGAAGGGAGAGTATAAGGGGAAGGGGTGCAGCAAAGGAGCGATGGGGGGGGAGGTACAAGTGAAGAGGCTGCAAGGGCTGAGAGGGGCAGACGCTGACAGCTGCTTCCCCAGCCCCGTGCAGGCAGAGCCGAGAGGACAGACACTGACCCCCAGGTGCCCGAGCCGGGGGTCCCACGGCGGGGCAGTATCCCCCGCTGCCCTGCTCGGAGCCGGGCTCTGCCTCTCCCCGCCCCTGGCGTTGTGGGGGCCCGGGGCAAGCAGCGCGGGACTGAGGTGGGGGAGGTGCACGGCGGGCTGGGTCCAGGGGCAGATGGGGGCAGCTCCCTGGCAGCTCGAGCTGCCCAGCCACTCGCCCCATCAGCATGCGAGCCGGGATCCATGCCCCCTGCACAGCCCTGCGGCACCCTGCACAGCCCACTCGGGCGAGGAAACGCCGCGCTGCCCTGGGGAGACTCAGAGCAGCAGCGGTGGCGGCAGCAGGACCTCTCCTCCCTCCCTGAATCCCGGGCCCCGCTTCCCTCCCTCCCAGGCTCCTCACACACTCTGGGAGCCCCTCTCACCCCCGCAGCCTGGGCTCAGCTCCAGAGGACAATGCTCTGGCTCTCCAGCGGCAGGGCTCTGGCCAGGGCCGGCTCCCGACTTTTTGCCGCCCCAAGCAAAAAAAAAAAAAAAAAAAAAAAGGGGGGGGGGGGCGCGGAGTGCCACCCTTTGGAAAGTGCCGCCACAAGCACATGCTTGGAGCGCTGGTGCCTAGAGCCGGCCCTGGTTAAATCAGAACAGAGAATCAGGACCATCGCATTTAAAATAATAGGATGGAAAAATTATGTAAACCTCACTTTTAAAGCATATATAAATATGAAAGCGTGCACTGGATTCAAATGATCTTTTATTACCGTAGCAATAGCCTTGGCCAGTCCTCTGAACAACTGAATATAAGCAGAGAGAGTGTGTGGCCCATAAATGGTGGATGCTCCCTCATATCGTTGAACCTACAAGAGAGATTAAGAGATCTCTGTATTTCTTCCACAGATTTTGTTGTTGCTGCTCTTTTCATTTCTCTGTGAAAAAGAAAAATTATTCCACAGGCATCTAAACTCCCATGAATTATCACTGAAAAGTAAAAATGCATCGTAAAAATGGCCTGTAAACATCTTTGATCTATATTAGAGCTATTTTGTTTACCTGGTATTCTTCATAAGTAGTAATGTAATGGGTATAAACATTGCACAAGCCTGCAATTACGACATTCATTCCCTGGGTCCCGTGGGATTCAAATTCCTAAGAAAGATGGGTACAAATACATAATTACTTTAATAAATATTAAATATACAATTATATCCATCGCATGTTGGTCATTAATAAGATGAATCAAAATAATAAATAATATTCAGTATGATGGATGGATAATGTTATGATTGTCACAGTGTTTCTAATCAGTCTCATGGTGGCACCACACTGGTAGCATTAATGGGTGAAATTTTGGTTCCACTGAAGTGAATTGCAAAATTCCCATTAATTTCAATGGGGCCAGGATTTCACCCATGTTTGTTTGGGTGGCCTTATTTATTGCCATATTGGGAGGTGGGGTATGCTGATTGATAGATAGGTATCAGATACACAAGTAGCTTTAAAAACAAAACAAAACAAAAAAAAAAAAAACACACAACACACCTTCATAATATGTGAGACCAAGTGTATTTCTACACTGGAGCTGGAGGTGTAAGCTCCAGCCTCAGAAGACACACCTACACTAGTTCAATGGGATCTAGCATGCTAAAAACAGAAAAGTAGCCACCACCTTGCTAGTGACAGGAGGGGCCAGCCACCCTGAGTACAATCACATCTGAAACTCTAGGTACGTACTCGGGCAATCCTGCCACTCATGCTGCTGCAGCTACATTTCTACTTTTTGCACACTAGCTCAATCATAGCTTGAGAGGGTAGGTCTACTCAAGTAGGAAATTACACCTTCCAGCTACACCCCAGGGAACAATATCAGTAGGAGGCAAGAGAAAGATGACAGACTCAAGAAAATAAAGGTTCCATAAACTCTGCTGTCTAGAAAAGTTCTCTTCAAGTTTTTAGCCAGTAACTTACACTTTTAATAGCTTCCCGTAGTCTCCGTCCAGACATTGTCCTGTGAGGTATTAAGATAGTAATGTTAAACTCCAGTAATGTAGAGAACGTGTGATATACTGAAGTGCAAGGTGAGTTGGAATCACTGATGGACGAGTATCCATAGGAAAGGTTTGGATCACACAAGTCTCCCAAAACCTGGATGCTCAGCTGAATCTCATCTGAATTATCTGTATATTTAGAGCCAATAAAAGAACCCTTCCCTTTACAACAGTTTGGCGTTTAGAAATCACCCTCACTATGTGGAAAAGTGGAAAGGAGACTATAAATAATTTATCAGCGATATGTGGCACCATGCAGGCCCTGGCTGAGGTCTAGCATTTTCCTAATTTTGTCCATTGAATTGAAACTGCATTTTCTGATGGAAAAATGGTACTGTCAAAAAGATTGCTCAGCTATAAGAATGGGACGCTAGTTTCAGCCTCAACTATAGATCAGTAACTGCTGGTCTAAAAATAGGGAAGAGGGAATCCTCATGTATTCAACTAAAGACTGCACACGCACACACACACAAATGCACCTGCATTAGAACATTAGAATGGACATTGCCATACAGTGGCTGCATATCACATTGTACCAGTGATAAGGTAGTTTCTGGCTTTATATCCCTTCCATAAAAAATATGCACACCCAAGTACTGTGAGTACGGTAGTTTAGATATAAATATTGTCTGCTTTGTTAAACAAAATCAGAGTAATAGTACATACGTCAGCTCTCCTGGAAAAGCAACTATTGAGAGGGACCCAATGGTAAAAAGCTGAACATCAACTATTTCAGGGTGCCATGGATAAGGTAATGAAATCTTGGAAGAAAAAAAAAGAATATAGTGTTACATTTTTTTAATAGGGCCAATAAGATACAATCTTGTTTTGTTCTTTCCATATTCATAAGAATAGTGATGCAAACATTTATTTTTGTAAGACATTTACATTGGCTATAGAAAATGAATGCTTTGTCTCACTTTATCTTCTGTACTACCCATGCATTAAATCATTCAACCAGAACCATATCAATTAGGAATGGAAGAAACCTATTGTATTATCGAGTCTGTCCAAATGCCCATGCAACACTGTTCTTTATCCTGTGTTCTTAAATGCTTCGTTCTGTTCCATTCTAAGTGACTGTAGCAATGGGTTTTCATTCCCTTCTCCTGGGACATTCTTAATGGTGACATCTATGAGACTGTGGAATAATGATTTGATTCCAAATTTTCCTCTATTTACCTACTTGACCTACTTTAAATAACTCCTCTCTCTTTCAGATACTTGTAGGCAGTGATCATATAACTCCTCCGTTGGCATTTGGCTGGTCTATACTAGAGTTAGTTCTTTTACGTTTTGCTCCATGGGTCAATACCTCCATGGATTTAAACACTTTGTTAATATCTTTCTGGTAATGAGGTGCCCAGAACTGTATGAAACATTCCTGGTGCAGTCTAACACCACCATAGAGAAAGGAGCAATGACAACTCTGGTGAAAACAACATGATGCCTAGGAGCTGGAAGCTCAAAAAGCTATTGTTTAAAAAAAAAAATCATATTTCAAGCTCATGAGTAAAATTTTCAAAAGCCTCCAAGTGATTTAGGACCCTAAATCCCATTGGCTTTCAGTAAGATGTCTAAATCTCTTTTGAAAATGGGATTAAAGATCGTATTTCACTCAGGCACATTTGAAATTTTTCCCTTTCTTTAATATGATGTTCACTCACAATTTTTACATTGTTTTCACTCCCCCCCCCCGCCTCTTTAAGACTACTTCCTTGTCATTACAGTATGGATGGACTCTCTTTAGATTGAATTTTCCAGATTACATTTTTTCCAGAACAAATCCCATTTTGTTATTTTCCAACCTTTTTTTTTTGTGGAGCTACAAATGTATAAATACATTTATATAATTAAGGATTCCATAACTTTGACATACTAGCCAAGCCACGAGGTTTGAAATTCTAATGTCATTGCTCTTTTAGTCCAAAATTTCTCATCAGACATTTCCACAAGTCTAAAACTCTTCTACCAGGAAATTATATATTTTGGCAGGTAACCAAAGATCTAACTGACCTTTCTAACATCACAGTAGTAATTTTTATATAAGGACAAACATTCTCGAACATTTTCTGCACTGTATTTTATCACAAAGACATTTTTCCTTCATTATGAAGCATGCATATCTTTTCCCCCTTTTTTAAGTTCTACAATAAGAATGTATGGGAAAACGCGCTTCTTTTGTAATAAGAACCCTGTATCTTTTACTGCTTTTTCAGAGTATTGATAAGCATATATTTATGTTCCTTTTCATGTCTTTTAAAGATTCCCTTTAAAATATTAGTGTCATACGACCATTCGCTGCCTTTACTTCTGCATCATTAGTTTAATTATGGCTGGAATCCTTGGATATCCTCTCTCTTGGCAGGAAAATCCAAGATAGTTAAGCGCTAGCTGTGCTCAGAGTGATATACACCAACACACTCTACCTCTCCGGTATTTAAAAGGATTGGCTTAGGTTTGTGGCACTCTTTTGTTTCATTGGATGGCTCTCCAAGCAGCTGGTTAAGAATAGTTTCCCAGAATGGCTGCCCTTCTAGTGAACCTGTAAGTAGAAACCTCTTTTAATACAATTTCTTCAGTTTTTCTGTGTATATTTGACAAAGTCTAATTCCTCAACTGCATTTCCTAAAAGTATCAATGTATCTAGGCTGGGATTTTCAGGGGAGTTTAGGAGATTTGAATTCATTCATCTTAAAATGGGATTTTGGACACCTAACTCCCATAGGTTGTTGTTAAAAATTCCAGTTCTAACCAATCAGTATTTCGAACATGGCTGTGACCATAGTATGTGGGTAGTGACCATGAATTATAGAAATAGAAAGGACTGTCCTCCTCACTGGATCAAGATCTAATGGCAAGAGGGAGCAAATAAAGGGAGATTTTAAAAATATCAAATAAAAGCTTAACGATAGTTAGGTAGAGAGGCAATTACTGATAGATTTGTAAATAAAGAATGAATGAGGAAGTAAAAAGACATGTTCCAATTCTGACCTTCACCATTTTCCTTATACATTGTATCCCTATCACCCACTCTTTGTCTGTATTTTTAAGACCGTAAGCTATTTGAGGCAGGGACTGTGTCTTCCTATGTTTGCACAGTTCCATGAACAAGACTGAGGGCATTATTGCCACATAGAATCATAGAATCATAGATTATTAGGGTTGGAAGGGACCTCAGGAGATCATCTAGTCCAACCCCCTGCTCAAAGCAGGATCAATCCCCAACTAAATCCCCAAATGGCCCCCTCAAGGATTGAACTCACAACCCTGGGTTTACATAAACAATAAATCTCAGTGAACAAGGTCTGCAGACTCTGTTCTTCTGCTTACCTTGTGTGAAATTTAAGAATCCCACTCCATCGATAGTACCTGCTGCAAAGCTGTAGCCCAAGGCTGGTTTACAGGTTTTACCCTTAATAAAAATATTTTAAAGTTAGATTATATACAGTATATCAACTCCCGATGTAAAACCACAACAATTCTACCTGGAACATTCTAATGAGGATTCTCTATCTGCAGGCAGGAAATTCCCAATACTTACTGTATGGGTGGCATTGAGCTGGACAGTGACATCAGTCATGTTCACCCACTGGTGAGCTGAATGGAGAGGTCCTGTTACCTCCTGGGAAGCTAGAGTATACAGTTCCTAAAACAGACACATATTATACTGATTAACACTGGGTGCAAAAACTAAAGAATATATTTTATTGAAATAGAACCACAAAGAACCTGTTCAAAACAGATGCAAGACAAATATGAACTATTCTAATACAATCTCAGCTCCCTTGGGAGCAGGTGGAAGCCATTAGTCCTTCAGGTAGAAGAAATGATGTGCCTAAATCTTTGAGAACATGTCCCTGTGGTGTGGGTCAGTTACAGAGACTAGTGCTTTATTAGCCAAATCCTTCCCAAGCCATCAGACATTGCTTAGGGCAGTGATTCTCAAACTTTTGTACTGGTGACCCCTTTCACATAGCAAGTCTCTGAGTGCGACCCCCCTTATAAATTAAAAACACTTTTTAATATATTTAACACCATGTTAAATGCTGGAGGTAAAGCGGGGCTTGGGGTGGGGGCTGACAGCTCACAACCCCCCCCCCCCATGTAGTAACCTCGTGACCCCCTGAGGGGTCCTGACCCCCAGTTTGAGAACCCCTGGCTTAGGGCATGAACAATACCCCACCATCCCTATCTATCTGGGGCCACTCTTTGCACACCCTCTCTGTTGTTAAGTTTTACTCTCTGAGTAGTGTTCGAAGGAGCCTTTAGTGAGACCTTTTTGAGTGTTCCTTTCTTTTCAGCTAAATGTTAATTTTATTCTCCTGAGATCACAGCTGTTATTTTCAAGTCTTTTTGCTCCTTTATGATCTCTCAGCATCATCGGGCTTTCTGTGACCCATAACCAGAGGATTCCATCAGAGTCTTTGCCTATTAGCAATAGGCAGATGGTCACTCACACCAACCTCACTTTCCTCCTCCATGAATGAGTAACTCAAGAGGGTGTCCGACAGCAACTGGTCCAAAACTAAGTTAACTAGAGCTGTAGTTCTCTAACTTTTCTGCAATGTGAGCCATATCTCAATAGAGAGTGTGTCCTCAGGGACCACCTCCCCTTCTTTTTCCCAGGTGCAGAGCCCATCTCCTTTCCCATTCCGGAGCACATAACATCTCTGTGGCAACTAAAGCTATTGCTTACAGGGAATAGTCATATTGGGAAATTATTAAATATATTTGCATGGAAATAAGGAGAAAAGTTAGCACCATGTATGCAGCAAGTTTTCTGTGGACCTTCAGCAGTCCACCAACCCAGAACCTCTGAATTGCAATTTCAAAATTAAATTAGGCTTCAAACATCAAACAGGGAGTATAGAAAGATTATACAAAATGAAACAGATTGCACAGCTCACTCAAGTACCTGGAAAAGCTCTTGTGAAGATATTCTATAAAGTTAGTAACAAAAAGGAATGACTAAACTTAAGGAACAGCAGTTGCCTCATCAAATTTTATAGTAGAAATTTTTTTGTTTCTCTCATCTTAACACCAACCCAGATGACCCTCTCCTTGGGGAAATGTACCTGCTTGAAAACATCTTTCCCAATTCTAGTTTGATCATTAGATATTCATAATTCAAAGATATAATTTCCTTTATTTAAATTCACAATTCATTTATAATTGTTCATTAAAAGTTATCTTCCACAATGAGTGATTTTCATAGTTCATAGAACTAGTACATACAAAGTATTAATAGAAGTTACACAGCTTTGGTAACATTTCATGTAACCGTGTGAAGTATCATTTTACTATGGTATGTATATATTGAAATCCAATAGTACCACCACCCACAATGGTCATATATGGCAAAAATCATTTCCCTCTAAATTAGATACACATGCAAGTCCCTAATGGTACAATTAGACTAGAATATCCACTAACCTACACATCACTGTCATTTTAGAGCAATTCTATTGCAAACACTCAAAATGGCAATTAAAAAGATGCTGTTATCATTAATTTGCTGAATCTGTTCCAGCTCCTGCAAGCTGCTGACACTGAAATCTCCAAGCGCAATGGTATTGCACTTCCTCCTCTGCTGCCCTTGACAAACATTAAAATAGATAGTATGGATAAAGGAGAATCCATTTCAGGTTAGCTCTTTGAGGGAAGAAAAGCATTTTTAGGCATGTCTAGCTATGAAGTAGAGAAAGCCTATATTTATTGTGTTCTGACATATTAGAGTGCACAACATAGTTCTAGTCTACATATTCTATTGTATATTGGTTCTTATACCACTCCCACCATCTAGCATCATGGTGAGGTCTCTATCTTGACTGGGCCATTGAACATTACTGTGATGCTTCCCAGGGGCACCCAGGGCTGTGAGGCACCTTGCTACCACCTGCCCTTAGCATGGGGAACCTTTGTTTGTGCCAGCTAGGCGTCAGCGCCCAGACTCCACTGGCTAGAGGCAACCCAAGCACTCCCCTCTAGGCCTACACAGCCCCCACTCACTCATTACAGGTTATGAATAGGCATTCTCCAACCTCTGAGCCCTCGGAGCATCTCCCTGGAATGTCTAGCCCCTGTTCCATTGGGCACTCACAGTATTCACAGATCAGCTGCTCCCAGAGGAATAGTATGCCCCAGCTTACCAGTTACACCTCAGATCTCTGTTCCATGTAATATACAGCACTTAGATAAGTTTATAGTGAAAACAAGTAAAAGTTTATTTAACAAAGTATAGAGATTCAAGTGATAACAAGTATTGGAAACAAATGGTTACATACAAAATAATACCATAACATGCATTCTAGATCCTAGGCTTAATTAACAAGTTACTCTCATGTCTAATAAAGTATCGCTCACCAGCGCTTTCCAGCCAAGCTGGCTGTGATTCCTTTTTTATGAGACAAGACACACTGTCAACTTGTCTCCAAGGTGAAGGATTCTGGGTGTCTCTTGGTACCCTTCGATATAGCAGATCAATCCACTGTCTTTATTCATAAATAGGATGCCCCCCACTGGTTGTTTTTTCCTGTGGCTTTCCTCTCCTGTCACTATCGTAATCTCCTGATTAGCGTCAGGTTCAGTATGCAAATTGGCATGTCTTGTGAGGCGGACAATACCCACTGCACAATTATCAGACAGGGAGATAAGCATCTGTTACCATCTGCCTGAAAAGAACATCCCTGAGGTCTGGAACTCTTGGTTACCAGCCTCAAGAACATAATTTTCGGTATGGACACATACCTTCTTACATATTATGCATGCATACCTTTTGCAGTGATTGCGATGACTAGTGGGCTACTACCTCTTGCTACTCTTTAGTGAATTATTATCCAGATTTCTGACTCAGGGGATACTTGCAAAACCCTGTGCAACCCTGTGTCCTCTGCAAGTTGGCATCAAGAGGTTCCTAGGTCACAGCTACCACAATGCAATTAACAAACAAATAAACAAAAATAAATAATGAAATTCCTGTAGAAAAAGGTTTGCCTCTACTAGCTGGTGTCACAATAATAATAATAAATAATTTATGTAAAGTGTGGGTGGAGGTGAACCTTTTGGTTCTATTTCCTAGCCTGCTGTGGCAGAAGTAGATCCCAGATACTTACGATGACATGTGCACCCAGTTATTAGATTTTGGAAGAATTTTGCCAGGACTGATATTCCAGATAAGCTGGGGTTCTGGGAAACCCGAGACACTGAAGGGATACGTGAAAGGGTCATGTGTACTTGTGAGTTTTGGGACCTAGATAGCTCTTTACAAACATTAGCTACTTAACTGTTGCACCTTCTCTGTGGGGTAGGTAGGTGTCATCCACATTTTACAGAAATGTACAGTGAGGAACACAGAGGCTAAGATAAAAAGATAGCATTTTCAAATGATGGTGCCTAAAATTAGGCACCTAAATAAAAGTGTGACTGCTTTGAAATTCAGACAACTTTTACTTAGGTACATAAATATGAATCTAAGTGCACAGCTTTAGGCCTACAATCTTGACCCACGTTTTGAGAATATCTCTAGCAAAAATAAATTTCAGAAACTCACTTGTCAAAAAGAAAATGTTTACGGGCATTTCCAATAATTGCATTTGAATACACAAGTAAAAAGAGTCCAGTTTAACTTACCTTTGCTTTCAAATAGAGATTTTGTCCTATAATTTTTGTACTGTTAATCATATCACTGCCAGGACCTGCAGCCATGCACATTTTAGCCTGTTAAGGATTTTTTAAAGTAAATAATTAAACAAATGTAAATAGATAAGACATCCTTCTAGCAATATAAAGCTTTTATTGTACTGTGAATGAAGGCACAAATCATTGTCATCACTTTCATGAAAAAAATCTTTGCTTTTAATACACAAACTAAACCATGCACCAGGTACTATTTTATAAACTAGAACTAAATTCTGTGGCAAGATCTGTGGTTTCTGAGCACACCAGTGCTGAATTTCATGGAAGATTGGAATTTCTGTGGCAACTTGCAGTAAGTTCAAAAATGGAAGATTTTGTCCTCTGTACAGTATCCTTTGCTATTTACTGTAATATTATATTGATTTTATGCTATACCCAAACTTTCCAGAGATTTTGTATTATAGTCCAGCTGCATACTGAAAGTCATAATCTGCCTCCCGGTTTCCCTGAAATAGGCACTTTACCCATAGCACAGTGTACATCCCCCAGCATGCTAGTAACACTGTACAGGAAGAGTAAGTGGCAGCCCCAAGGAGGCTGCCTATATGGGTAACCAGTACAGGAGAATATAGGGGTACCTTACATCCTTTTACAGCAGGATGGACCACAACCTGGCCCTATATTTGCAATTCCATACTTAAAATCTACCTTAAAACTTGAAATGTAGATAAAATGATATATACCCACCCCGCCGACTGGACAGTAACTGTTGGGGTTATCACATGACTCTCCTGTGTTTATGCAGTGTGGGCCTTTGATATTGGGTGATACATCTCCCAGGTTGGATGATGCAAAGGCTGCTACAAAGGATCCCTGCCAAAAGAAAATAAAGTGTTATGGCTTTTTCTGTCTCTTGCACTGATTGCCATCAACCTGTGGTGTTTCAATAAAAAAAAATCCCGTCATGTAATACGAAAATGTGAAATAAACATGAACTGCCTATATAACAAACTGCTTGTGTAAATTCCCCTAAGACTTCAGACAACATGTGCGAAATCATATCATCACTGATATCATATACAGTTGGTAGTGATAGGACATTGGCGAAGTTTTCAAAAGTGACTAGTAGCTCTGGATGACTGAATTTTTGGGTGCCCAACTTGACTTAAGTTAAAGGGACCTGATGCTGAGCACCTAGCCCCTAACTCAGTGCCTCAAGTTGGGCATTCAAAATCTTCAGCGCCTAAAAACCATTACTTTTGAAAATGTAGGCCCTACGTTTTTTGCAGTAAGGATTTTTTAAATATTTCAAATAGAAATATAACGTCATTACCTTGAATTTATATATCTTTCGCCTGAGCATCTCCAAGCACGTTACATTAATCTTTCACACCTCTCAGCAATTTAGAGGTAATTAAGTATGGATATTCGCATTTTACAGATGGGGAAACTGAGGCATAAGTGATTTAGCCCAATGTCATGTAGTGAATCTGTGGCTGGGCAAGGAATAAAGACACCCTGCCCATTGCTCTTGTTTTATCTCTTTTCATTACATAAAATAAATTACATCCCTTCCATCCTCTTTCAATTCAGTAACTCTCCTTTCCCCCCGTTTCGAATTCTTATTTATAGATATTAAATTCTAGCAATCCTTGCTGTCATTTTTGCTTGACTTTCCCATTCTACCTCTTGTTTTTCCACTATGATTTCTACTGACAGATTTAGCCGATGATTAGCTTAGAACATTCTCGGTTCTGATGATTTGTGTGAGCCTCTGAGCACAGAAACTGACAGAAGAAGTTAGCATTAAAGGTAGCAAACTGAATGGGTGATCAAAGACAAATTACACACTTATACAATGTAACACTAATTCATCACATGCAGTATTCACCTCTTAGTTAGGGAAGTTAAGATGAATTAACTAAAGTTGTGATGTTAACATGCATAAGTTAAAGTGCATCAAAACTTTGTGTGGATGCTTTCATTCAAGGTCACTTTACTTTAGAAAAAGAGCATCTACGCAGTTTTTAATGTGCTTTAACTTTGCAGCTTTAGTTGATTCATCTTAACTTTTCTGATAAGCACTTACAGATGGCATATCTCACCATCCATAACATGTCAATTTAGTATATGTCTATACTGCAATCAGAGGTATGGCTGCAGCACATGTAGACATATCCAAGATTGCTTTGGTCTAGTTCGTTTGAGTAAGAATAGCATTTAAACCTTGGCAGCAAGATTGGGGTCTTGGGTTTAATAAACATTTTTAAAAAATCTAACATCAAAAGAAATGCTTTCATGTAGGTATGAGCAAACTTTTTTTGTCCAATTTCCAACTCATTCAAACATCTTTAGTTTGAAAGTTGGACTCTATCTAATGGGTATTAGGCTTGCTTTCCAATTGTGAGAGGGGAAAATGTAATAGAATGGAAAAATTCTAAGGGAAAGGAAGTGAACTCATATTCTATGCTGGATATAAATAGGGCACCACTTCTGTCAGGTTTGCTTTTAAAGATTGTTCACCTACTAGAAAAATCTTTTAAAATAGTTTCAAAGGGCTCTGAACACTTGTACTTCATGAGGTTCACCCATTTCTATTTTAAATATACATTTACATTTCAATTAAAACCTTGTCTTTTCAAAGAAATAATATGGTCCTACAGTGTTTGAATTCCAAATACTGCAGAATTCCAAGAACCTATGAAAACCAGAAAGTGGAACTGCATAGAAACTGATGATAAAGTGAAATTGACCAAAGCCCCAATCCTACAAACACTTACCTGTGTGCTCAACTTCATGCATGTGAGTAGTTCCTATTGAACCAAATGTCATTAAAAAATTGGTTATTTTTTTAATCTAGATCAAATTTTGGATCTTAACAGATCAGCAATGTCCCTTGAAATCTAAATAAATGTTGTCAATTGCTATTTTGGGAAGAAATAGTCTGCAGTTGCCTTGTAATTTCTCTTTTCTATAATTGGAAAAAGTAGATGGTAAAAATGTATGATACGTCTTTACTGTGCATCTGCAGTATTTGTCCTGCAGTCTACGCTCTCTGTTTGAATGAGATTGCATCTATCCACAACAGATACTTTATTGGCCCTTTTTTATTTATGTTTTATCCCCCACTCCTCAGGATAGCCATAACATAGTCCAACCTCTCCAGGAAGCAGTCCTTTGTTCTTCTCTTGTTCAAACAGGTAAGATGCATAGCCCACGTTGTCACTATTTACGAGATGGTTTGTGTTGTTCATACTGACAGGATGAATTGCAAACCAGCTAATAAACAATCAGAAAACAAATATTACAGGAAATGCATTCATTAATATTAGTTATAGCTGACCTACTGATATCTTTCCTCTGGGGGGAAAGAGCCAATGTTAGTCATTTGGAGCTAGATCAGCAAATGTGGAGTTGCTGCCCCCTCTTCCCTCCTCCATCTCTCAATCTCCACCTGAATACAGACATCTGATCAAAATCTACCTTTAGCTACAGCCAGCTGACATGCTCAAAAGCTTGGAAAAGTCCATTCTTTCCCTACTACCAAAGAGTACTCCAAATTCATGAGACCTTGGGGACCACTGCAGCTGGCCCAGCTTGAGGCTTCTGTGAGTTGCTTCTCAGGAATAGATTAGTGCCTGATGGCTTGAGGATCAGGGCGTAGTGTGGCCCCAGTCCCCAAGCTGCAGGCTACTGAGGATATAACCCAATATCATTTCTTACTAGGTTTGATATACTAGTAACTAAATTAACCTGCGCTCATATAACCCACACACCTTCTGGGTGTGGTGCTCTGTCCCCTTTAGTGGCACCGAGGCCACTTGGAAATTAATGAGTCTGCTACAGCCTTAGCTCAGAGCCATGTGGCTTTTAGCTCATGCAGTAGAGGCTCATGTACTAAGCTTCCGAGGTCCCAGGTTTGTGGGCTACACTCACACACAGTAATACGACTATCCTAAAACATACCAACAAGGAGGCAAAATTAAGTTTGTTGCTTCATCCTGAACTTTTGTCTTTCCTGACTTTTGTGAAATTAGAAGTACATCATTAATTTAGTCTTAGTTTTTGGGGGGTTTTTTTGCATTTGATTTCCTTCTCTTTTTTATGGGAAAAAATAGAGGTATAAAAAAAATATAAAGGCTCTCTGTTCTATAACAGATGTCAGCACACCAAAGAATAGAATGACAGGCTAAAGGTCTCATTCAAAGACCACTGCAGTCCATGGTAGTCTTTCCATTGACCCCAATGGACTTTGGATCAGACCCTAAGTGCACAGCTAATGTGTATATTGCACTATTTTGATTGTACATGAAATAACTTCCATTGTTTTCCCATGGAAGCTTAAAGTACATCAGCTCCATGTGCCATTCATTGACACAGCTTGCCATCCTCTTTCCCCAGAGCAATTCAGCTTCCCCTTGCTTAAAAGCGAATAGGCCCCTAGTGCCTAATTGTGTATTTCACTACCTGTGGTCATATGCTGACTGCATCTTTGAACGTCTGACTGCACATGCTTACTTCTGAATGTTCATATATTCATAATTTTGTGAGCTTCAATTTCCCCCCGCAAACTTACAAGCACATACTGGGCATCAGTAAGCTCTGTTTACATGCCAACTCGGAGTTATTCCCACAGAAAAAAAGGTGGTCACAGTGGGAAAGTGCACTTTGTCCCCATTTGTCACTTAAAAGTGGCTGAAGCAATTTTGCTCACACAAAGAAAGAAAAAGCAGGGACCAAGCATGGAAATGTTCAACTCAAAAGGTGAAAGGTTTGAAAAGTTATGAGAATTATAAAACAGGAGTTTGTAATGCAAATTGTTTTTCAGCTTTAGGCTCAGCAATTGCCACCAGTCTCACGTAGTAAAGAGGTATCCATTATAAATTAGCAATGTTTATTAATACATTTGCGTCGTGATGGTTAATGCAAGGCGGTGTTTCATGTCACCTTGTGACATGTGATATGAATTCATACAAAATCTTGCAAAATAACAAGGCTTCTTCCATGTTACAAACTGCCTAAGTAACACACCTTTCCCCTTCACCTATAGAGTGTACAACTGTGTGCAGCAGGGTGAAAAAAGATGTACAAAAATCTCCCTGCACAATAAAGCTTCAGGTCCCTTGTGACAGAGCTGGACCCCACTCAGCTGTTCATGCCCTGAGCTAAATGGGCAAGTTCAAAAGTTGGGTAAGCATTGCAAGTTTTGTTATTTGTGTGCCTGGCCTTGACTTGACTTCTGAACTTCGTACAGCCAAACACTCAGCTTCAAATCTCTTAATAGAAAGTGAGTTACTAACACGTACCATCTTACATGATATTTCAGCGTATGAAGTCGGGGCCCTAGTGAGACAATGGCATATTTTACATGATATATGGGGCATTTTATAGAACTAGACACTAGAAGAAATCTTCACCCCCTGCTCCGGCCCCTTTGCATTGGGTAAAAGGGCCAGAGTAGCATAAAGTGACCCTAAAAGCCCTGTATCCAGCTAGGGGAGGAGTCCCTTGGTGCAGTTGCTATGAGGGAAGACAGCTGTAGAGCTGCTTTCCAAGGACTCCCTCACAAGCCCTGGTGTAGGAAGTGCGCCAGAGGCAGGGCCACAGCACACTGCGATGTGGAGATCCTGGGCAGTGCTGCAGCCCATAAGGCAGCCTGGGTAACTTAAACAGGCCACAGGTAGGGTGCAAAGGTGGCTTAAAGCTACCTTAGCCCCCACTGCCCTTGGCCTATGAGAGGGATTTGAATGAATGACCTCAAGGAGAAAGGCTAACATGGACATTTTTGATGACTACAAAGAACACAATCAATAGACAGGACAGGTTTGGGAGCTTATATTTTAGTGTTTGGGAGTGAATTTTACTTTCAGATTCAGTACCTGAGAAGGCCTAGCTCCTGTCCATTTACATCGACCATCTTCAGCACCACCATTTCTTTGTCTGTATTTGATGAATACCTGGACAACAAAACAGAGAAATCATTTCAGTGCCACAGCCAACATCACAATCTGTAAATGACTCTGTTATATGCCAAACAAGAAAATGAATTGAGGTCATCAGTTTCCAGTTGCTATATTTACAAGGAGTTATTGTAAGAAGCTGCTGAATTCAGTGACAAAAGTCACATTCTGTATTATATGCTGCTTGCCTGAAGAAAACTGAACTCTCATTTTGCTGTGATATAAAACTATTTACTTTCTACAAAGACTGTAGATATTGCTTTCCATTTTTGTCACCATCTAACCAAAATTAGAATTTATAGCAGTGACATGTTTTCTAAATGAAAAACAGAGGCCAGATTCTCAGTCACTGCTTTTCTGCGCTCAGGGCAGGAATGGACTGCGGAATGACAAAAATGACTTGTAGGTCCCTTTGGGCATCCCATATTCAGTGGCAATTGTGGGGGAGGGGGTAGCCCCCAGTGCAACCTTAGAATAGCCCTGAGCCTCTGTAACTTATGCTCTGCCTTCTGAGGCTTCCTATGGACCATGGGTAGTAGATAAAAGGTGTAGTGTTGTGTGACCCAATATCCTAGAAACACCATGGGCTAGGAGTGGTGCTGGTTTAGAATCCCTTCCCCAGTCAGGAAGGCCCTCCCCTGGGGGTATTCTCAGGAGCTATTTTACCCCATTTAAGGCCTTTTTACACTGACAGGGGGCATAAAGGAGGCTTGTGAGACTGAAAATCAGGCCCAGTAAGTCTGTTTAGTTTCTCAGCTGCCAGTAATTATGCCCAAATGTTTCTTTTAACCATAGTAGTGTTTCCAATCGGAAGAGGGTGTATCTGACCACAATGCTAACCTTGGAATTCTTTATTTAATTTCAAAAATCCAGCACGAGACCAGCTAAAGTAGAAGATTCCCTGCACAGAAAGATACCAGAGATACCAGCACATGTACTCAGGAGCACAGTAAGAAACTGAAGCATGAGCCACCTGGGTGGGTTGTCTACCATCAGCATAAAGTTGCAGTTTTCTGCACTTTATTGTTGCTAAAAACTCCCACACCCCATCATTCCCTGGTAGGGGGAAAGTTGGGATCTAGATCTCCCAGGTCAGGGCAATTTCCACTCTTGATTTGCCTTTGATAACATACAGAACTGTAGTTCTTCAACACTGTGTCCCCAGAACATTTTTTGCCAACAGTTCATGCTTGTTTTTAAGAGCTATAGTTTCCCCATTCTTCTTCACCTGTTTCTTTCAGACTCTGGATTCTGAAGATAAGAGTAAGGACTTCTGTTGATTTGGCTATTTTCTACCAAACCTTTATTGATAAAAAGTCTTCCTTTTTTCATATTCTGGTGTGCTATATCAATGCTCTGAAAAGCAGAAAGGCAAGGAAAATCAGTGCAATAACAGTGAAGAGGTGCCACATGGAAAGCAAGTTTGAGTCTTCTGTGTCTAAGAACCTTACTAGAAGTCCAGACACGGAAAGATGAATCATTACACCTACGATAGGTGATCTGCAGCTATTGCTTGTTGCACTTTTCTTTTTTTACATTTGATGTAGTGTTATCCTTTAGAAATTAAAACAGCTAATATCAGTCAAACTTAATTAACATTTTAAGTAATATTAAATCTCTTTATAAATAAATAGTGCAGCATTTTGTTTGCTAACCTGACCAAGTTGGTCACGATAAAGCTAAAATATTTCAACAAATAAGATGATGATGTCATGAAACACTAAAACTAATCTCCCCATGACATTTCTTGGCTACTCCTATACTAATAAATAAAAATATAACACAAAGGTTATCCCTGCTATACTTACATTTTAGGGAGAAAATTTAACTGAAAACACCTACCTTTATAATCCCATTTACCAGGGCATTAAGGGATGGTTTGATAAGTCCCTTGCTAGTTATCAAAAAGATAGTATATTGGAAATAGCCTGCAGGTGCTGAATGGGTGTGAGTACCACTCAGCATAACATTGTCTTGTCTGTATAGCTCCCCATATTTACTCTTCAATTGCTTGATTACCTAAAAGGAAGGAGGCAGTAATTACAGAGTGTTTTTCTATCATGCCTGAAAGGTCAGTCCTTGCATCAAGGCAGTAATAGATATGTATAATCCTGGGTTTCTTTCTTTTTGTGGTAATAGCATAGTCCTCCTTTCCCACATCCATCCTCCTAACCCCTTCCCCACATATTAATGACTGAATAATTGGAAGTGTATCTGACCACTCAGTAAAGAACCCTTGAAGTTGTTAAATCCAGTAAAAGGCTGCTATGGTTTATTTATAGCCAGTCTTATTTATTATTACAAGACATATGAAAATTACCTAGAGGATTCCCATTTCTTCCCACCATTCACCCTTTCTTGACACTCTCACTAGTTTGATCTTCTAAGAATGTAAATCAGAAACACTTAATTGATGATATTCACCCCACACTAGCTCACCGGCTACCAAGAAGGCACTACAGGCAAGAAAACGATATGTGCCACTGCACTTTGGCCACCAAGTATGCACTACAGACAAGAATGAGCATCATACGTTATCCCTAGGACCAGTTCTGGGTGCCTGGGACATAAGTGAGATTAAAAGACTTGATTTTAACTTCTGGCTGAAACTAGACTCGTCATAATTAAATTACCTGAGGTAGCATAATGTGCACTGAAACATCATCTAGAAGCCACCTATTCTGTTCTTTAAACAGAAAACAATTAGATACATTTTTGATTTACAAATTTTTATTCTAAATAAATTTTCAGAATTTCAGTACACCTGTTACACCACTAAATAGAACTGGAAATCAAATATTACAGGGGACTGTCAGACATGATCTGTTGCTAAGTTTTCTACTAATACAAACATAATAAAAGCCCTCTTTTGTCCATCAAAGGATTGTCAGCTCTCTGGGACAAGGAGTACCTCTTTCTACATGTTTATACATCATCTAAAACAATGAGGCTACAAGCCTGATTGGGGTAAGTGTGACAATACTTATTTTTATTATTGTTAATAATAATAAATAATAATAATAATAATTAAAAAAGCTAACACAAAGTAAAGAGCAATTGATTTTATTCACATACCTCCAGCCTAAGTCTTTGAGACACCATGCCTATGTCAGCACTAACAAACACCACTCTTTTGGAATTATCAGGCTCTGCCACAATGAAAGCTCGACTATATAGACGAGAGAGAATTCCACCAGCCAGCTGGTCTGGATTGGCATAGCCCATCTGCGGCAGAACACAGCATTAGGCCAACCCCATTCTGACCAATTTATTGATACATATTTCCACTTGCATATAGTTCTCCAAGCAAAATCATCACAGGACCCAAATTACAGCTAACCATTAAAAACAGAATGATATAGGTTATATATTAAGTATGTCTGTCAAGCAATTAAAAAAATTAATTGTGATCAATCGTGCTGATAAACAATAATAGAATACCATTTATTTAAATATTTTTGGATGTTTTATACATTTTCAAATATATTGATTTTAATTACAACAGAATACAAAGTGTACAGTGCTCACTTCATATTTATTTTTATTACAAATATTTGCTCTGTAAGAAACAAAAGATATAGTATTTTTCACTTCACCTAACACAAGTACTGTAGTGCAATCTCTTTATCATGAAAGTTGAACTTACAAATATAGAATTATGTACCAAAAAACTTGCACTCAAAAATAAAACAATGTAAAACTTTAGAGCCTACAAGTCCAATCAGTCCTACTTCTTGTTCAGCCAATTGCTCAAACGAGTTTGTTTACATTTGCAGACGATAATGATGCCTGCTTCTTGTTTACAATGTCACCTGAAAGTGAGAACAGGTGTTTTGCATGGCACTGTTGTAGCCGGCGTCACAAGATGTTTACATGCCAGATGCACTAAAGATTCATATGTCCCTTGATGCTTTAACCACCATTCCAGAGGACATGCGTCCATGCTTATGACAGGTTCTGCTTGATAACAATCCAAAGCAGTGCGGACTGTCGCATGTTTATTTCCATCATGTGAGTCAAAGCACCAGCAGAAGATTGGTTTTCTTTTTTGGTGGTTTGGGTTCTGTAGTTTCCGCATCAGAGTGTTGCTCTTTTAAGACTTCTGAAAGCATGCTCCACACCTCATCCCTCTCAGATTTTGGAAAGCACTTCAGATTCTTAAATCTTGGCTTGAGTTCTGTAGCTATCTTTAGAAATTTCACATTGATATCTTCTTTGCATTTTGTCAAATTTGCAGTGAAAGTGTTCTTAAAATGAACAACATGTGCTGGGTCATCATCCAAGACTGCTATAACATGAAATATATTGCAGAATGCGGGTAAAACAGAGCAGGACACATACAATTCTCCCCAAGGTGTTCAGTCACAAATTTAATTAACACATTTTTTTTTTAACAAGCATCATCAGCATGGAAGCATGTCCTCTGGAACGATGGCTGGAGCATGAAGAGGCATATGAATCTTCACCTGGCACAAAAATATCTTGCGACACCAGCTACAACAGGTGCTGTTCTCACTTTCAGGTGACATTGTAATTAAGAAGTGGGCAGCATTATCTCCCATAAATGTAAACAAACTTGTTTCTCTTTGCGATTGGCTGAACAAGAAGTAGGACGAGTGGACTTGTAGGCTCTAAAGTTTTACAGTGTTTTGTTTTTGAGTGCAGTTATGTAACAAAAACTAGATTTGTAATTTGCACTTTCATGATAAAGAGATTGCACTACAGTACTTGTATGAGGTGAATTGAAAAATACTATATCATTTTTACAGTGCACATTTTTGTAATAAAAAATAATATAAAGTGAGCATTGTACACTTTGTATTCTGTGTTGTAATTGAAATCTATATATTTGAAAACGTAGAAAAAAATCCAAACATATTTAATAAATTTCAATTGGTATTCTGTTATTTAACAGTGCAAATAATCGCGATTCATTTTTTGAGTTAATCACATGAGTTAACGGCGATTAATTCGACAGATCTAATATTAAGTATCCTATAACTAGTGCATAGAATCAAGACCAACCTGAAGTTGCTTGACTTTTTTTGGTGGGGGGGGAGGGGTAAGTTAGAATGGCATCGAGTAAGAAATTTGTCAATGCACATACATACCCCGTAGGTATTACATTTACGCAGTGTATATTTTCACCAGTTTTCATAATATAATTATGTATGTTTTAAAATAAAAGAAATATTTCCCATCTGATTTTTCCCTTTTCTGTCTAGCAAACATTGATTAATATTAATACTTGGTGATTCACTATTTAAATAACTGGGCAGCAAAAAAAAAAAAATCAACTAAAGCACATTTTCTGAGAAAAGTTTGTTGAAACATTCATTCTATGCAGATTGACAGACTGAAAACAAAAGGTGAGCATGCCCCATGTAATGTAAAGTTCTATTTGTTCATTAAAGAAAGAAAACATCCTGTATAGCAGTGCTAGACATGCCATGGCTTTTGGTACATGAAAGAATACTAAGAAAACATGTTTCTAAGATACTTTATTAAGTTCCTATACATACCAAAGGGACTTCTGCAACTGGTCCAGTGCAGTCAGCTCGACCAACACCGATCAGGTAGTGTTTAGAACCAGCAGCTGAAGGGATTTGAGTTAATAAGTGAAAACACTAATGCAATGAACATATCAGAAATGAACAGACATTTTTCTCACAAAACTGAGCAAGAAGGAACTAGATTATCAGGTAAAATTTCTAACTGCTGTGTATGATGAGCAATTTATATTATGGTTGCCAAATGGCTGTGGGATGTACCATCTTTGAACCTGATATCAAAACTAGCTACCTGTAGCGTATATGGGATTTCAGATCCCTGCATTCAGAGCAGGCAACCCATGGTCCTACTTATGGGCTGAAGAAAATTCACAATCATTGTATACCAGCCTTTGAAACAAGTCCTACATATCCATCAATATTCTGTTCATGTCAGCATAGTTCACTGTTACATGCACATAGAGCTTCTGCCAGCTTTTGCTGAAAAATATGTTCCATGCCTATGTATATAGTCCAACTCACTAACCCTAATGGGATAGTTTCTTTTTCAGTGATGCTTCAATATGCTAACCTTACAGCTTTCTCCTTGACAACTTCTATGATGCAGTTCTGCGTTGTCAGGTCAAAACTCTTTTGAATATCAAAACTGAAAATGTGGGGAAAGTGAAAACTAAATTAGGCTGGGGCTAGGGATGAGATGTTTGGGGTACAGGAAGGGGCTCTGGGTTTGGGGGGACTCAGGGCTGGGGCATGGGTTTACCTCGAGCAGTTCCCGGTCAGCAGTGCAGCGGGGGTGCTACGGCAGGCTTCCTGCCAGTCCTGGCACCACAGACCGCACTGCGCCTTGGAAACGGCCAGCAGCAGGTCCAGCTCCTAGGCAGAGGCACGCAAGCAGCTCCGCGCGGCTCTCGCCCACAAGCACCAACCCCCCACAGCTTCCCGGCCAATGGGAGTGCGGAGCCAGTGCTCAGGGCCCACCCCTGCCTAGGAGCTGGACCTGCTGCTGGCCGCTTCCGGGGCACAACACGGTGTCAGAACAGGTAGGAACTAGCCTGCCTTAGCCGGGCAGCACCGCCGACAGGTCTTTTAACGGCCAGGTTGGCGATGCTGACCAGAGCCGCCACGACCCAATGCCTTACATTCTGCGACCCAGTACCGGGTCGCGACCCGCAGTTTGAAAAGGACTGGTCTAGTGAGGAGGGCACTGGACAGAAAGTCAGGAGAGAAGGATTTTTTTTATTCTTGTCTCTGTTGTGTAACTCGGGGCAAGTCACTTCACTTCTCTGTTTCCTCTTCCATGTTAGTCTATCATGTCTGTTTACACTGTAAAATCCTGAGGGCAGGGAATCTCGCTCACTTTGTGTTTGTATAGTACACTGCACAATGGGACCAAATCCTAGCTGATGCCTCTAACTAAACATCAACATAATAGAAATAAGTATAATAAATTCACACACTTCCAGTTAGCTTGTAACAAATTCGTTTTCAGCCTTTGTTCATGAAGCTTCACCAAGGCCCAGTAAACCCTCTAGATCAAAACAGTTGCACGGAATTTGATAATGGTATCAAAATACCTTTAAGTAACTTGCCATTATTGTCTGTAGTCCTGGTTTTTTTAGGGGCAAAGAGAAGAACTAGAAGAATCAAAGCAATTATTGTCATCAGCGTGAAGAGGACAATGAGTACCACTTCCAGGCACGAGAAACGGGATTTGCACTTTTCACCCATTGCAGGAACAAAAACTACAAAAAGGAAGAAGAAGAAGCTGTAAGAAATTCAAATAGAAGTCAGCACATTGATTCCAGTTCAGTGTGTCCAAAGCAAGTTTAGGCCATGTCACAGCTAACTTCAGATCATACCAAACTCCTTCCCTTTAGGGATCTCCTCGCATCCTATCTAGGGCATATTTGGATAGGGAGAATAGCAGATGCAGGAGGATCTCTTTTATCACGTCCTGGGTTTCCCACAATACGGACTTGACTTTTAAATAATCCCTAACTGACCAGAAGCCCTTCAGTGGATGAAACATCCTCCATTCACAGAGTATCTGAGGTTAATATAGCAGCTTACACCCTGACAGCATTTCCTACAGTGCACATGTCAGAGCACCTCTAAACAAGTACAGAATTCATTGTACAAATGACTTTTTTTAAACTTACAAACACAAACTACTCAGGTTTCATGATTACAAATGTTATTACATTTTAAGCTAAATACAGAGGTTGTTCTCTACAAAAGAAATCCATAACCTCAGTTTATGCCATTTTTCTAATCTGCAGAGATGATATATACACACAAGAAACAACTGATTGAAAGGAGATAAACTTTTTAGGAAAGGTGTGTGACAAAGTTCCTCCTCTATCTTGGTGGGTCCTGCACTTATTGGCGGATTTTCTTGCCTCAGAGATTCACCATGTGGGTTGGGGAACAGCCCAGAGACCTTCCCCTCTGGGAGAACCCACAGTCCAGGTCAATTGGGAGGTTTGGGGGAACCCGGGCCCGCCCTCTACTCCGGGTTCCAGCCCAGGGCCCTGTGGACTGCAGCTGTCTATAGTGCCTCCTGTAACAGCTGCATGACAGCTACAACTCCCTGGGCTACTTCCCCATGGCCTCCTCCAAACACCTTCCTTATTCTCACCACAGCACCTTCCTCCTGGTGTCTGATAATGCTTGTGCTCCTCAGTCCTCCAGCAGCACACCCTCTCACTCTCAGCTCCTTGCGCCTCTTGCTCCCAGCTCCTCACACTCGCACCACAAACTGAAGTGAGCTCCTTTTAAAACCCAGGTGCCCTGATTAGCCTGCCTTAATTGATTCTAGCAGCTTCTTCTTAATTGGCTCCAGGTGTCCTAATTAGCTTGCCTGCCTTAACTGGTTCTAGCAGGTTCCTGATTACTCTAGTGCAGCCCCTGCTCTGGTCACTCAGGGAACAGAAAACTACTCATCCAGTGACCAGTATATTTGCCCTCTACCAGACTCCTGTATCCCACTGGTCTGGGTCTGTCACAGGTGCCACGTGGTTTTAAAAGATGTCAATTATAAATAACATATCAAAAAAGCCTGTGCGTCAAACCAATTTGCTAATTAAATAGTTTTGTTTGTTTCATCCTCCATTTGTAAGATAAAACAGTCATAATTCATCCCTTTGATTCACAAAGGGTTTTTCTGGTTTTGCTTTTTTGTGTTTACAACCTGGTTTACAAAATAAAACTTAAAATTTGGCATCCAATTCCATGATATTACAAACCCAGCAAACTATATTGCATCAGTACTTCACAGCCTAATTGTATTAAATGGAAGGAGGGGCGGTTAATCACACATTTTTCAAGGTGGCTAGAAGCAAAGTGCCAAAACAAAAACAACACCAACAAAAGTATTTGCTTTATAGTAACTACTAAACCTCAAAACAGAAAATCTTACCTTACAGTATATAATTTATTCAAGATTTCAGAATTCTGGAAACTCAATAATCCCTTGGTAAAATGTTCAGCTTTTGAATCCCCCTTCTCTTTGTTCATGAACTTCTAGAGGTCTGAAGAAAAGTCAGGTTATTCTTATAGCAACATGAAAGCTTTCTAGATTTATTGCAATTATTATTACCCCTATGAGTCAGTGACAGTACAAGATAAGAAGCTCATACATCAAAATTTTAGGAGCTATAAAATATATTTTTTTATCATGAGGCAAGTTTAAGCAACGTTTATCAAAAACATCATTTTAGGAAAGCTCAGTTTATAAATTACTCTATACTGAGCACGATATGATGACCAAGCACAACCTCAGTACGTCCATGGTTTGTCAAAACATTGGTCTTTTAATCTTTGCATTATTATTGCGCCAAGGCTGCCAAGTTCAGAAGTTCAGTTCTAAGAGTGAATATCTCTGTACAATATAAACAGCAATATCAAGGGCTCATTCTTCCATGGCACTACAAAAGCTTATTTTGAAATAACACATCTTATCA